TTGGCGAGACCACCGCGGGGCGCCGATCCCGCTGGAGCAGCTCACGCCTGGCGTGCTCGAGGTGCTCATGACGGCCGCGCTGAAGCGGCAGCACGAGCTCGCCCTGGCCGAGAAGTGGCAGTGCCCGGTGGGCGCGAGGGTATCCTTCGACGTCTTGCGGCCCTTCGTGCGAGCCAAGAGCACCAAGTACACGTGCTACCAGAAGTTCCTGGTCAAGACCATGGCTTGCGGTGGTTGCTGGACCCGCGAGCGGGCCCGACTCCGCGGGTACGAGACCGACGGGAAGTGCGCCTGTGGCCAGGCGGATACCATCCACCACAGAGTCTTCACCTGCATGCGCCCGGACGTCGTGGCCGCCAGGGCTGAGTCCGAGGTGACGGCGGACTTCATGCAGCGGGGCACCGACGGCGAGGGCGTGCGGTCGTTCCTCCACGGCAGCTTCGAGTACCAGGACGCCGACCTGCCGATGCTGGATCCCGGCACCGAGGCGCGCGTCGCTGACGCGGAGGGCCAGCCCGTGGACATAGAGGCGGAGCAGATGGTGTCCCACGCCTGCCCCGACGCCCTCGAGGTTGAGCTGGCCGCCGACGGCTCGTGCAGCAAACCGGTGCTGCTGGAGCTCCAGCGCGCGGGCTGGGCCGTCGTCCTGCTGGACCCTGTGTCGAGCCTGCCCCTCCTCGTGCTGTACGGCGCCGTGCCAGCTGCTATGCCGCAGAGCTCAGTGCTGGCGGAGTTTCTTGGGATGGCCTTCTCAGGGCAAGTTGCAGATCGACCAGCAGATCTCTTTCTTGACTATATGGGCGCTGTCCGCGTCGGCCAGAAGTCTCCGTCCCAGCAGGCGATTGACAGATCAATGTATGCATGTGTGCAAGTTTTCGGTAACAGATTGCCGGGAAAACAGCACATCCGCAGTGTAAGCCATGTAAAAGCCCACAGATCTGGCACGGAGTATGAGCAGCTAGGGCCCGTCGAGCGCCGCCTGACTGATGCAAATATTGGCAGATGCATATGCAAAGCGAGCGGTGCAGATCCATCCCAAACCCCCTCACGAGCTCCTTGAGGCCCTCGAGGGTTCTGAGCGGGACTGCGCACAGCTTGTGAAATTAGTAGCCTCTGTTCTGCCACTCTTCGAGCAGGAGGAGAGGTGGCAGAGGCTCCCCGTGTTTCGTAGACAGCGAAATGTTAGGCGGGAGGGCTGGCACGACTGGTGCTCCACAGCGTTTGGGACCCAATGCCGAGCCTGCCTGATCGTCTTGAAAGATTCCCAGGACAAGCCCCTGACGGGGTGCCGTGGGGCCCCCGACTTCCTCAGAGCCTTCCTCCGCTCCCCTCAGGGTCACCAACTAGTTGCCGTCCACCAGTCTGGTAGTAGATGTGCTGTCCCTCGAGCGTGTCACGGACACGGTGCGGTAGTGCCCGAGCCCGGGGCCATTGCTGGTTTTCGGCTGCCTGATCCTCCTGAGCAGTCTGATAAGCCAGTGTTTGTATGTGTGCTGTGCTGGGCTTGGGCCCAACAGAGGCGTAAGCTGAAGCTCCGAAGCCCCTGCACCCATCCCACCCCGAATGGGATCGAGGTGTTGAGAAATCTTCGAAAGGGTGTGGGCCCTCACAGGGGGCTCGCCAAGCAGATTTTGTCGACCCTCCCTCTGGACCGTGTGGCGCGGACACCGCGTGCCCCGACGGTTGAAACCACCAGCGTTTCTGTGAGGTCGAATCCTGATGCAAGTTGCCCCTTTGAAGCTCGAATGGCCGCCCTCCACGAGCGAATTCGTCAGAAGGAGTTGAATTCTCGAGCGAGCTCCAGCGGAGAGTTCGCAAGCGAGTCCCGGGTGTGACATTCAGCGAGCGTGGCGGGTACAGTTTTTCCGCCTGTTCAGTTGTGCCCTTTTCGTTGCGTCCCGAACTGTGGATGCGGGTACTGGCACCGAAATTCGTGACATTTTCGTTGCGTATTGTGCCGTCTCGGGGTCCAGTTGGTGGCGAAAGTGGCTAACGGGTACGGGCTGAAATGACCCTCAGCGCCACCCGCCACCCTGCTGGAACCCAATTGTCTTGGCTGAAGCCTGGTCCGCCTCTCGGCGCTTGTCTTATCTTATCTTATCCTTCCTCCTTCCTCCTCCCTCCTCCCTCCTCCCTCCTCCCTCCTCTGCCTCCTGCCTCCTGTTCCCTCCTCCTCCTCCTCCTCCTCCTCCTCCTCCTCCTCCTCCTCCTCCTCCTCCTCCTCCTCCTCCTCCCCCTCCCTCCTCCCTCCTCCCCTCCCTCCCTCCACCCTCCTTCTTCTCCTCCTCCTCCTCCCTCCTCCTCCCTCCTCCCCTCCTCCTTCTCCTCCTCTCCTCCCTCCTCCTCCCCTCCCTCCTCCTCCTCCTCCCTCCCTCCTCCTCCTCCCTCCTCCTCCTCCTCCTCCTCCTCCTCCTCCTCCTCCTCCTCCTCCTCCTCCTCCTCGGTGGGGACACAGATCCTGGGACCTCCTCCCGTCCTCCTCCAGTGAGACACTCACTGGCCAGCGGTCCTCCTCCTCCTCCTCCTCCTCCTCCTCCTCCTCCTCCTCCCGGTGGGGACACAGATGTGGACAGTGGGGACAGCGGGACAGCACAGTGGGACAGCGGCGGGGACAGTGGGGACAGTGGGACAGTGGTGGGAACAGTGGGGACCGTGGGACAGTTGTGGGGATCGTGGGCAAAGTGGGGAGAGTGAGACCGTGGTGGGACAATGGTGGGGAGAGTGGGGACAGTGAGACACTGGTGGGGGCACTGGCGGGGACAGCGGGAACAATGGTGGGAACAGTGGGGACAGTGGAGAAGTGGTGGGGACACTCGGACAGTGGCGGGGACGGTGGTGGTGGGGACAGTGATGTGGGGACAGTGGGAATGTGGTTGGGGCAGTGGGACGATGATGGAGACTGGTGGTGGGGACAGTGGTGACGGCGGTGGCGAGGACGGTGGTGGGACAATGGGACAGAGGTACAGTGGGGACAGTGTTGGGGACAGTGGGTGCCAATGGTGGGGACAGTGGGACAGCTCAATGGGACAGCGGCGGGGACAGTGGGACGGTGGGACAGTGGGGACAGTGGTTGGGACCGTGGGGAAAGTGGGGAAAGTGGGATCGCGGTGGGAACAGTGGTGGGACTGGGGACAGTGCACCAGTTGTGAGGGCACTGGTGGGGACACTGGGGACGGTGGTGGGAAAAGTGGGGACAGTGGTGCTGGGAACAGCAGCGGGGGATGTGGTGCGGACGGTGCTGAGGACCCCCTTCTGGTTTTCCCGGGGGGGGGAGGGGTTCGAACCGGTAGTGACCCTCCCCGGTTTCCGAGGGGGGGGGGTTCCAACCGATAGTGACCCCCCCAGTTTTCGAAGGGGGGGGGTCGAACTGGTAGTGACTCTCCGAGTTTTCGAGGCGGGGGGTTCAAACCGGCGACCCCCCCCGGTTTTCAGGAGGGGGGTGGGGAGGGTGAGGGGGGGGTTTTGCCGGGGGGGGGGAGGGGGGTTCCAGCAGGGGGGGGAATTTTCGGGGGGGGACCCCGGGGCTCCGGAGGAAGAGGGGGGGAAATTTTCCACAGTAAAGCGGCGGTGGATCACGCTCTCCCTCATGTTTCTACCGACTTCTCCCGACCGATGGGTCGCCTCTTTTTCTCTTCGTTTGAGGCTCGCTCCGAAGCAGGAGGAGCAGGCCCGAGGGGAGCGGCGCCCCGCGCTCCGGCCCCGGCGTGCCGGCCGCTCTGCCCTCCTCCCTCCCGCTCCTCTCCGGCTCCCTGCCCCGACGTGGTGTTTGACGGCTGGTTCGCGTCGTGTCGACCGACCCCGCCGCCGGCATTCGACGTCGAACGCGGGCGGCGGCCCAGAATCGGTCGCGTCGTGTCGCGTCGTGTCGGCCGGCGGCGACCCCGCCGCCGGCGTTCAACGTTGAATGCAGGCGGCGGCCCAGAATCGGTCGATGTTGAACGATTTGACGTTTTCGGAGCCCTCGTGCCTCCCGCTTCTCCGGCTCCCCGTCCCGACGTGGTGTTTGACCGCTGGTTCGCGTCGTGTCGACCGACCCCGCCGCCGGCATTCGACGTCGAACGCGGGCGGCGGCCCAGAATCGGTCGATGTTGAACGATCTAACGTTTTGGGAACCCTCATCCCTCCCACTTTTCCGGCTCCCCGTCCCCATGTGGTGTTACGGTGGGTTCGCGTCGTGTCGGCCGGCAGCGACCCCGCCACCGACGTTCAACGTTGAACGCCGGCGGCGGCCCAGAATCGGTCGATGTTTGAACGATCGGTCGTTGCGTGAACGGCCGGTCGTTCAAGGTGGAACGATCCCCGCGGTGTCAGTAACCAACGCCGGGGTCGAGAAGACACGAACCTGCCGTATATTTTGATTCGCGCGGGGTGAGGCGCCCACCATCGCAGGAGGGCCGTGGCTACGGGCGCCCTGCGAGAAGGGCCTTGCCGAGCGAGGGATGGTTGACGCGGCCGACGTCCGTGGAAGGGTTGGTTCGCGGGGGCGGCACAGCCGCGAGGACGGACCCCCCCCCTCCGACGAGGCTCGGGCTGTGATTTGCACCAGTGGTCGTGGGAGAGACGGGAGAAGATCGATCGTTGGTAGACCCCTCAGCTCGCTTCACAGACCACGCGACGCGTTGCCCAGGCGTGAGGGCGAAAAGGTTTGGGGATGACGTGCCACTGACTGGTCTCCAGGAACTTGGAAGGGCGATGAACCGCCTGGGCACCCTCGCCCGAATCTTTTGCCACCTCCCGGGCGAGGTGTCCAGGTCTTGTGTCTGGCGAGGCGCATATGTTTGCGTATGAGACAGGGGTGGGGGGGCATGCTCTTCGGCAGAGCACGCCCGGACACCCCTACATCAAAGCCGACCCGTGGGTAACGGTGCCCTGGGTCGGGTGGGCCAGGAACGATGTATTCGACGAGGGCCAGTCGGGAGGATGACAGAAGAACGACAGCGGTGGCGCGCGATGGGGATGACGAGCGCGACGGCGGCATCGCGCGAACCGTCGCCACTGCAAGGCTTGCGCCCGCGCCCCTGCTGCGGCTGTCGGCCACCACCGCCGTCGCGCCCGCGGCCGAGCGTCGTCCACCCGCCGAGCCTGCGCGCTGGCCGTCCGCGGAGCCCGTCGTGGTGGGAAGGGGCTGGCGCTCCCCGGCGTTGCCTCCCCCCTCGTCCCCATTCCTCTCCCCTCCATTGCCCTCTCCCTTCCCCTCGTTTCCCCCTACCCGCGCATCCCCACCCGCCCCCATCCATCCTCCCTCTTTTCCCTCTGGCCCCTCTCCCCCTTCCGCCTCCCCCCCTCCATCCTGGCGGCCTTCCTCTTAGGCGTGGCAGCTTGAGCTCTGACCGTCGCGGCTGCAGGGCCTGGCACCACTACCCCCACGTACCACGTGCTTCAGTTGTCCTGGAACTTCACCTGAGTCCTTCGCGAACGCTTCTCACTCCCAATGTGGAACCGGTAACCGCTTGCATGACCGATCGGTCCAGCGTTGGAGTTTGGTTGGCTTCGGCCCCCGAACCTTTCAAGTGACACACGCCTGAACGTGGCGAAACTTGCCATTGCCAAACTACTCTGGAACACGCTGTGTGGGAGCACCAGCCTCCTAGGCCGTGCGTGGGTTCCAATGCGATGAAACATGTGAAGTGTTCGGGCACGTCTTCAATGGCACGTATGCGGGCGGTATCTAGAGCACGGCAACCGCTAAGTGCATTCATCGCGAAGGTAGTTTTTTCTCCAGAGCAATGGCGCGAGTTCTCTCCGTGAAAGGTTGCCTCCACCCATGCGGCCAACGATGTTTTGCGGATGAGGCGTTGAGCTTGATGTGATTTCGTGGCGTGGCAGACTGGCGTGATGCCGTGGTGCGACAAGTCATTCGTGCCGTGGCGTCGCAGGCTGCCATGATGGAGAGTTTCGTGGTGGATCTTCGGTATGAGGTAGCAACCGGGGAGGAGGCGATGATCGAGCTTTTTTCGCGGACGCTGCCCCTTGGTGGTGGCGTTGACGCTGAGCGGTGCGAGTGCTAGTGCGGGCCATGGAGCCACCGCATGGGTCGTCCTCTTTTCAATGCTGATCATCTGGGGAGAAGAACAGACAACCTGTCCATAAGCAGGCTGACGGTCAGTCCGACGTCGAGTCAGACCCACAGAATGCGTCTTCCGTCGTGAGGGGTGCAGGCCTAGAGGTTGACACCAACACCATATTACCACCAACGCCGAAATCTAAGATCATCTTCCCCGTGTGGAGGCACCCCCCTGTGTTGGTGTTGGTGCCCACTTCCAGGCCTCCAACATGTTGGTGCCGTTGCGGAGGCGATGTTCCGAAGAGTGCAGGTCTGATGTCTTGTCCCGAAGGCCGTGCGATTCGGGAGTTTGGGCCCGACGAGGAGGACCACCACGCCTGCCACAAGCAATGCTTTTCCACAGCGCCTGGTTGCGCCTCGAGCGCGGGGATGATGCCCTTGGCTTATGATGTTCCGACCTACTTTAGCCTTGATCGCCAGAAAGAATTTCGAGCACCACAAAAGTACAGAAAATCGAAGGTTTTCACATGTCGGGCCCTGGGAGACACTCTTTCGACACTCTTTCGACACTCTTTCGACACTTTTTCGACACTTTTCCGGGTGCTCGAAATTATTGTTGGGATGTGGCTTTTGAGTACGATGGGGGCAGCACAACCTGCGGCCCCTTTCATCCTCGCACTTGGCGCATCGTCCGCACTGCGCAGGCCCGGGGCTCACTTTCTCATCCTCTCTTCCCGTGTCACGCTTGCAGCCTCCGCTCTCCTCTTCAACTGCGCGGCTCCGCCCAGTGCTGCCCCTGGTCGGTATCAGACGGCGGGCAGGGTTGCCGAGGTGGGGGCGGGCTCACGGCTGTGTGAGCCCCCAGCTCGTCAGCCCGCTCGCCCGACGCCTTGGTCAAGGACCAGCACGGCGCCAATGCTGCAGGCAACGCCGGGGCGATGGCTGGGGGCGGCGGCCACGGCAGCGGCTGGCGAGCAGCTTGGCGTTGGGCTGCGCCCAGCTCGGCTACACGTCAGAGTGACCCTGCACTGGAGTGACTACTGGCGCGGGCACACTGGGCCCCCAGATGACTCAACGCGATACGATAGCAGCGTCTTGCGCGTTCGGGTTTGGCCTCCCCGCGGCCCACGATAACCGCGCACCAAATGTCATTCTTGTCCAGGGTCACACTGGCGTGTAGCCGACCAGCCCGACCTGGAGCGCCAGCAGCTCGGGGGCAGCCGCGACGATAGGCGATTGGGGCCGACGCCGAGGCCGACGACAACTGCGCGACGCCCCGCTCGACGCGACGCCCCCTCCCGCAGAGGACCACGGGCGCGCCGAGGACGGCGGCTCGCCCGGCGGAGGCTGGCACTCAGCGCGGCTGCGGTGCCGTGCTGGAGCGCCGCAGCGGCGGAGGGTGCAGCCGCCGCGCAGTCCGCTGGCGCGCAGCTTGTTCACGGAAGAAAAACCACCTGGACTGGACAATTGGCGTTTACGAAACGTCCCTGGGCGTTTACTAAACAACCCTGCCCTGGTTGATTGCTTCGTTGGGTGCGTTTACTGACGGCTTCGCGTGTCGAGTTGGTTATTCTCGGGGTGGATTTTTTGCCCTCCACTCGTGGACGCGCTGCCCGACGCTGGCGCCGGAGGGCCCGCAGCACGGCGAGAAGGCCCGCAGCTCCTCCGGGGCGTGGCCCTGCGCTGGAGTGACCTCACTGGTGCGGGCCCACCAGGGTCCCACGATTGCTGGATGCCTGGGTGCGGTGCGAGAGCCGCGGGTCTGCGCGCTCGGGCTGGGCCCCCGCGCCCCCCGTAAAGCTGCGCGCCACAGGTCACTCTTGCCGCTTGCCTTACATCGGGCCTGTCCCTCTACAGAAGAAGTGTTCAAACATAGTTTAAAACATAATCTGGGAATGATTTTAGGAGCATTTGTGGACGATTTTGGAGCAGTTTCTCTGTATTTCTTTTTTTCGCCGAAAATCCGCCTGCAGGGGGAAATGCCCGACCTAGCTCTTGCCCAGGTTCACTCTTGCGTGAAGCCGAGCCTGTCGGGAGCAGCGGCTGGCCCTGGTTCTGCGCCTCCACGGCGCCGCGGGCGCGGCGCCGTGCCCCGCGGCGCACGCGGGAGGCCTTGGCCCGCGGCCGGGAGCCGCAGCATCTCCTGCGGGCCGGCGGGGGCGGCGCTGCCGACGCTGCAGGCGTGGCGGCCAGGCTCGTGTCTCAAGCAGTGGCGAAGCGTCCTGGCTCGCCTATAGGCCTGCCAAAGAATGTTCTAGGAACCCTTCGTGGTCTGCACGAAATGTTCTTAGAACATATCTGGCTGGGACTATTTTGTTTCAGCACATCGGATCGATGTTAACATAAAAACATTGTTTTTGTCCTTGGAACATTTCTGGGTTCTCAGAACATTTCGTGGTAGGACTATAGCGGGCGTACTGCGTACAGGCCGCGCGGGCCGCGAGTTGCTCGCTATGCTCACGGCCGCGGACAGGGGGCGAGGCTTCGGGAGGAGGACGTCGTCAGGTGCAACGGTAGGGGGGGATATGCTCAGGGGGGGGTTGCATCCACCCTGAATCGCCCATTGACCGCCGATGAGGGCCGGATAGGCCACCCGCCCCTGGAGGTTCGGATTCGCTATCGAGGGTATATCACCGATCTACCGGCGATGTAGCGCCGAGTCCAGCTCGATATTTCCCCCCTTTGAGTTGGTGCCCCCGATCATTGCTCCTCAAGAGTACCAATCACACGCCGGTGTTGGGGGCCCGTCAGCACTGTATCTCTTCAAAACTAACTCGCTGACTGGTTCGCCACGGAGGCGTGTCACTGATATTGCGTTTGCCTCCCCCCGTGACAGCTGCCGCCGAACCTTCTTGGAGCATCTGTCTGCGACCGCTTGTGAACCCCACTTATGCCCAGTCGGCGCTAGGATATCGGACACCCCCGCTGGGCTTCACCTGACTGCAGACATGTGGCGTTACATGTGGTGGCCCAATATGTAAGCGTACGATGGTTGTTGGAGCAGCCTCCGAATGCTGCTTTCGAAATCTGCCCCATCTTCTCCGATCGCCCCGGAGGAACTCCTCCTCCCACTCTTCGTCCTCGTTCACCTCCTCATTGTGCCGAGGACGTTCCTGACTAACGGTCGGCTGAGCATCTCCGAAAACAAGCAATATTTCGAATAAGCTCCTCCTCCTCCTCCTGCTCCGCCTCCCCCACCTCCCCGTCCCCTCGTCTTCTCCCTCCTCTTCCCTCCTCTACCGCTTCTGGCCCACTTCTCCCCCTCTCCCTCCTCGCCTCCCACCCCTCTTCTTCTCCCCTCCTCCCCTCCTCCCCGGTCTTCCCTTTCCTCTCCCTCCCTTCTCATCCTCTTCCTCCTCTCTCGCTCTCCTCCCTCCGTTCCTCGCTGGGCGGTGCGGGTTCTTCCCTTTCGCCTTCGCTGCTGGAATGCTCAGCCTTGCCCGCTCGAATTATCCAAGCCTCGAGGGACGCCAAACACAACACCGCCCCTGGCCAGTCCAACCATGGAGCCAGGATCGGTGCATACGCCTTCCGAGTAGGCGTATGTCAGGCAAGCCTTGGTAGCACACCAATCGCTGCAGAGCGTTCCACAGTGCTCTGGAACCGTCGCGGCCCCCGATATCTACTCCATGCCTGCAAGTTCTCAGAGATTCCCGATTTGTCCAGTCCCCATCTTGTCTTCTCCCCGTCGTCGTCTTCGTACACACCGATTCCTGGGCCCCCGATGGCGCCATCACGCCCCGTCTTGGGTGTTTGCAGGAAATGGGGCCCTCTGGAGCCTGCACGCAGGGTGCACCTCTCCTATAACCCCCCCTTTTACTGCCCCCCCCCGTGAAGCCACTCCCAGCCGTCCCCTTCCCTCTCCCTCCCCGTCCTGACGAGGGAGAGTCGGAGGCTGCGCTACAGTGAAAATCCACAGTAAGGACGGGTAACCTTCCCAAGGGCACCCTTGCGTCCTTAGATTTGTTCGGCAGTTCGTCGCTAGAGAAGCCTCAGCTGGGGCGTCCAAGGGCCGTCCAAGGGTCTTGAGTCTTGAGTCCTTACAGCGCGTCCTCACTACAGACCTTGACTGTAGGGGCGAACAGCCCAAGGGGCGGGCTTCGCACGCACTCGCCGGGCC